GAAAATGCGAAAAGTGCGGCGCATGAAAAAGTGAGACGTTTTTGCGACGACATTACAATAAATAAAATTTTCAAAGGGAAAAATTATATGACAGTTCCGCACTTCGCCTTCGACATAAATTGGAATGAGACGCACTAAATTGAACGAAATTGAAACAATCATTAAATGTCTGTCAGGAGGAGTTGGCGAAAATATATGGTTTTCCTTTTCTCAGTGAAAATGGCAAGTATAAATAAAATATTCGCTTAATTTCTCCAATGGAAGATTTATGTGATTTCACACCTCCGAGGCAATTGAGAGACCAATTTTTTATCTCTTTTATCAATTGCTTTCCTTCGGCTGAACATATATCTAAGGAGGATAGTTGATAAATCGACACAAGAGTGGAAAGTTGTGCTCCAAAATACAACGAAAAGCAATGAATTCACTTGAATTTCCTTGCCAAACGTCAAACATTTCCTATTTTTGCCCCAATTTTTCCGATATCTTTAAGTTTCTTCTTATTTTTAGTCTATTCAATCTCTGTTGCTTAAGAAAATCTTTGAGGCTGAACAATTGACTGAAAGCTTTTCAGCTTGGCAAAAGTTTCCTAATATAAAATTTTATCTGTCGTGAAATTCATCATTTCTTTCTCAATAAGCTAAAAGACTCTTTTCAGGAAATGTATTTTTTTCAATGGGCATGACGATGTCATTTTATTATAAAGGTGGAAAATGGTCATACTTTAATCCTTTTTGTAATATGAATCTTTCTGCAAATGCGTTTGGACAATTTTTGAAATTACAAATTTCATCTGACTTGCAAAAAAACCCAATTAAAACTCTTTTGATCACTGATAATTCCTGGGTAATTTGATACTTCAACCTATGCTTTGTTTATTTTCCCAGAATTTTATTAAAATTTGCATCCAACCAAACATTTTATCAGTCATGCAGAATAAACTAGATGAAAAATCTGCGTGTAAAATGTAAACATGAATCATGCGAGTTATTCTGCATTTAATATTTTTGCAGCTTTGAACTCAAGTTCCAACTATACTTTATTATTTTAACCTGCATTAATCAAGTTTGAGAGAAAACACATCTGCATACGTCGACGTAATGGAAGACAAATATTAGCTCGAGGGCAGATTTTTATTTTATCATCTGAAGGTAGCAAAAAATCGAATCGTTTCACCTCATCTCGGCGAAATAAATTAGCAGTGTGAGCTTTATAGAAAATAATTATGTTGCGTGTGATGGTTTTTTTTCTGGGGTGCGGAAAATTGCTGCGGAAAACATCTGCTTTAATCCAATGCGAGGTGTATTCTAAAAATTTTATAAAACTCCGAGCGGTGTTAATTAGTTTCTGGGGAAATATCTGACACGTCAAGAGCACACCTCAAGGAAAGCACAGCGTCTTGGGGGTGTGAGGGAACCTGCGTGAGAAATACCACATCCGCTGCTTCATGGATCAAATAAAGTCTTATTGAAAATCCTCACAGGGATGTTTAAGTTCTCTATTCCTCACCTCACCGACCGTAAGCGTCCGGATCTTGCGATTAAATTTAATTAAGAAAGCTCCATGTTGTACATAAATCAAGGAAGAGTGAAATTTCAGGGGTGGAAGGCCAAAAAATTCCCTCAACAAGTTTCCATCGAATTTACATACATTGTTTGCAATTTCCTTCGCCAGCAGTGCCACAGCGGCGTGTACAATTCGAGTCACAAAACCAATTTTCATGTGTTGAGCCCAAAGAAGATAAACACCAAGTCAAGGGGCAGGTATTACGGTCGAAAATGGTGTACAATTGCTCTGAAGAAGAATTCTAATATTTTTCTAGGTTATTTAATCAATTTTAAAGCGACGGAGTCGCTAAAACGCATCCCATTTTGTTCATGTATAAACTCTTTATGCGCCAGGAAATAGTGTACAAATTCTACCCAAATTAGCTCCCCCTTGACTCTGAGGCTCTGAATCTTGGTAGTGGCTTTTAAGTAGAATGGGCTGGAATCTCACCCTTGGAATTCACACAATTGACTGAGAAGGTGCGAACACGAAGGCGAGTTCTTAAACTATGGGCTGTCGAGGCAGAATAAACAGAAACTGCACGGAAGCCCAGGAAATCAACACTCCTTTGACCACGTCGGCCTACATCTCTGCCAGTCGAGTACATTGTCGAGCCATAAAATCGAGGGTCGTCTATGTGTCTCTGGAATGGGATTCAGCTTTTATGACTCCTCCAGTATTGTAGATAGGCTTCGATTTATTAGTTGACACGCTCGAGAATACTTCCTCTGGACGCCCACGGAGTCGGGGGCGAGAGTAATGGAGTGCCTCTCGCTCCACGGAATGCACGAAAGTTTCAATAAAAAATCAATAAACACATAAAAGCCGTCTTTCACCTTTCCGAAACTACCTCGGCAAAACCCACACTCTCTGGCGCAGCCTTGAAATTCACGCCGAAATGGAAATTTCCGCCCACAATAAAGGATGTGAAATAAAACCCTTCAATGGATGTCGTCATAAATGATGAGATCAAGCTTATCTCGGCGAAGCTTCCTTTTGTCTTCTCGCATTTGAATGCATTTGGAATTTGGACTATGCATACTATATGTATCTCTGCTGCACATGTCATGAATATCACATCAATAGAAGGCATTAAATTACATACAGGATGAGATATTTTCTGCGTGTGAACACAAAGGAAGGTACACAAAGTCAAGAAACGTAATTTAATATAAAGGAAAAACATGGCGGGTTTCAATCTGAGGTTCTCACATGAATTCAATACTGTTTTAATCAAGGCCTATTTTGTTGCTGTCAGAAACTTAAAGACGTTCATTATTTCTCTAAAATACATTTATCATTAAATAAGTAAAACTATAAATGTTTCCAGTGCCTGTAGAAAAGCTCATTCATTTAAATTGACGCGACTTAACCTGTAATTTTTGTCAGTATTAAAATGAACAGCATTTTCAATTAGAGCTTTACCAAGAAAAAGCTTTCGTGGCGTAATACTTTTTTGCTCGATTCTTGAGTAATATGCAATTAAAGTGAAATTAAGTCATGGAGAACTTTTACAAACTCAATTATGGTTAATTTATCAGACTCTAAAATGATATTTATTACTTCTATTCAAACTGAACACATAAGCAATCAAATTGACACAGTTTTCCACAAACACTGCTCATTGAATGGCAAAGAATATATTGATTGGTGGACGGAAGCAAATTTTTCCCTCGTGGAATTGAATTGGTGTCTTTTTCTCGCCCTGGAAAGACTGTGAGTAAATGTTTCCAGCACTGGTAAATGTTCCTGCATAGTTTCCTATAATGGCACTAGAGTTTCTCCTATTCATTTTCCTCTTATTCCATGCTGTCTATTGAGCAAAATTGAATTTCCAAAGTCATGAAATGAAATTGATTTTCGCCCATCTTCTGGCTGCAGAAGCACCTGCTTTTTTCCACCCCGAGGGTGGAAATTGTGTGACATTTGGGTGGGTGGCAATGAGAAATACGCAAAATAAATACTGCTTAAGTCGCTTGATGGATTTTATACACACGTATGTTGTTAAGGGGGATGAAAACACGGGGAAAACACCGGAAATAGTGAGGACGAGGGGCTGGAGAGTGTTGGACTTGCCCAGAGAAGATGAAATTGCCACCTGTGACTTGAGCAGATGCCATCGGTGGAATCCGACAGAATAACTCGCACAGAGATTGAAAAGGGTCCTCGGGAAATGTCTTCTTCCACTTCTTTGAGCATTCACACCTTTTACTCATCCAGCAAAATATAATTCAATTAAAGTCAACCCGACGAGAGCCACTTTGTCGAGTGGATCCTTCGGGATCCCTCCACATTTTCGCCTGGCGAACACACTTTAACCCCGCTTTGTCAATTGATTGATGGGACAAATTCCACGTGAAACACACGCTCAGTATCAATCAAAATTGCATTTTTCTGCAATTTTTGCGGGCAAATTGACATGACAACGGGAATGGAAAAAGAGTGAGTTGAAATCGATGAAAGCACCGAGGATTTTTCCGCGCTTTACCACAAATTTAGGCTAATTCAATTTATTAAATTCATATGTCCAAAACCGCGTTCTGCTGCCAAATTTAATGCCATAGTTCAATCACTTCACCTGTCGATCAATGGAGAAATATTCGGTGTTCCCAGAATTTTTTTTCTGCGGTGAAAACTGTGTTAAATTTCCTTGGTAACTTCTGCTCATTAATTTTAATTTATTTCAATGAGCTAATTATATATTCTTCAAGTTTCCTTCAAGTGCGAGAAATCCTTTTTCTCTGGTGCCCTTCAAACTCCTCCGACTCTTTTCAAATTGTGCCAGAGTTTCCTCCCAAGAGTGTCTAATTTCACCCTGAAGAGACTTTAAGGGAAAGTTCATCCCTCATTCTTGGGGATTTAAATTTCACTGCGTGAAATGGTTAGGCAAACAGAAAATATACAAATGAGCAATTTTATTGCCTGTCTCACACAATTCACCGTCGCACCGCTGAATTCTATTGACGAGTACGGAGAAAAGGCTCGTGAGCGCTCCCAGGATTCAAGGAATCCCATCATACCGGAGTGTCACGGAAGATGAACGACGTGGGTGTTGTCACACCGTACTTCATACTGTACTTTATACGGATAATTACTTGTGATTTAATGAGAAAGTTGAAAACTTCCAGCATTGCAATAAATTCCGCTTCTACTTACCTTCCATTTCTTAAATTGAAAGCACAGCGCTTGGAAGCAGGGATGTTCATAAGATTTGCCGCTTGAAACTCATCTGGCAGATTATGGAATAAACTTGCAAGGATAATCGTCTTTCGCGTTAGAAAATAGTCACACAATTTGTGTGATTGGCCCTGTGAGTAACAGCTACAGTGCGAAATGAATTCTCATGACAATATGAGGTGGTAAATTTATTTGCTAGCGCTTTCTCAAGGAAATGCACCTGAATTTCCATGTGTTCCGTGTATTTAACATTTCCCACAACAAAACGGAAAAGCTACAATTTCATCATTATATTTCATATTACTTCTGCATTACATTATTTATATATCTTCTGCTGTAAGTATTTCCATTGTCACTTTGCCACCTGGGTTTTTCCGGTGAGGAATATCAGACACTTTCCAGACTTGGAATTGTACATTATTAATTGATTTAATTAGATTGGAAGATTCTCAACATTCTTAATGTCTATTTTAATGAGAAAATTTTGTAGATTTCTCAGAAATTCATGATAATTTTGATAGACTGTTTGTTGTTAGGAATAACAAGCATTCTTCTCACTTTCTTACAAAGTACCTAAATTCAATCAAGTGCTAAATAATTTCCTATCCCATCTAAATAGTCATCCTGCATTAAAGAGATTGTCAAGTGTGGATTATTTGGTAACATTTTCGCGCTTTCATAAATTTTCTTCCCTTCCATAAAACATCCTTTTGTCAACAAGCAACAGATCGTGGATAGAATTTCATTATTAGCTCCTCTTCTTGTACATTTCAACATGGGTTTATTCTGTTTACTCTTCTAAACTGCAGGAAAATAAATTGTTAGAGTCAGTGGAAAAAAGAACACGACTTTTAAGTACATCGTTTTTTTTTGTGGTACACATTTATGGTGATATTGAAACAATTAAATATTCCAATTTACTTGAATTCTCATCTGCAATCTCAAACATACACACAATTCAGAGATTCAATTAATTCACCCCAGCGCAAATGTACTCGAAATATGGTAATTTGCCTCGCACTCAAATTAATGTGATGAAGAGTGTGGTTTCACACTGATCGCTCGAGAACCCAAATGCTTTGCATTATATTAAGTTTTTCAACATTTTTTTGCACCTTTTACATACACATAATTTGTCTGACTGTAATATTTATACGCCCAAAAGAGAGAATAATTAATTTATTTCACTACATTGGATTATCATTATAGTTTTTTTTCAATACTTATTAACATATGTTGCATTATATTTACACCACTTATTCAATTACAAATTGACCAATAGGGATTTAATTTACACACTCATCTGCAAGATTGTTTATTGTCTCGTAAACAATCTGTTTATTAATGATAAATTGTAATCTATTTCAAGAAGGTGATTTTGTGCAATTTCTCAACATGTGGGATATTTATTGCTAGTAAAAGTACAGGAAAATACAGAAGAAACCTTCAAGAGTCTTGAATCACAGGATAGAATTTGTCATTTTCAGTTGATTTTCAATATTATACATGCGAAATAATCATGGAAATTAAATTATATTAAAAATCCTCTGTTTAAAATCAATTGAAGAATAAGATTTTTGCTTTCCTTGGATTTTTCCTGAGGGGATTCATAAGAGAATTCTTGTGAAAAACTACACAGTGTCTTAAAGGCATGAATAAATTTACTATTCATGCTGATTTGTGGTGTTTTTGTACTTCGGATACGCCCTTTGATGTATCTTTACGAGGTTCTAAGGCGCGGTAAATTAGCTTGTAGACGAGCTTGTAGAGGATTTCCCATGTCTAATAGCTTTTTTATCGCAAAAAGTTATAAATCCTGCTGATTTTCCAGCAATTTCCTCGCTGAACTACAAAACACAGCGAATTTTAATATTTTTTTTCTTCAAAAGTGGGCGGAGCATTTAGAGGGGCGGGGCTTTTCAATATTTCCATTTCCGTGCAAAAGTTTTGGCGTTTCTTCTCCACAAGAGTGTGACAAAGATCAAAAAAAGTGCTTATGAGACAATACAGCAAAATGTTAATATTTTATCTTTTAACCTTAAAAGCTCTACACATTTTACAATCCCATTCAGTTACTTTGAAACCGTTACGAGGACACAGAGCTTTTCTTCAATTGTGACTCAAGAGGTACATTTCGAGAGTCACATTTTCTGAGAATTCTCCTTCGCATATCTTGTGAATTTTTTCCTGTGCAAATATTCTGAGAAAATGTGGAAATATTTTGTATTTTCCACTGATAGAAAGTCTCTTTTCATGCATAGCAGAGAGTTAAAAAGCGAGAAAGTTGAATTTGCTGTGGATCAGCAATTAAATTTCTCATTTCTTTTGTCATTAATATTACTCTCATTTAAAGTTGTTCTGCCATTTTCTGCACTGGAGGTAAAAATTAGCAAACTTTCGTGACATTTTCTTGTACAATTTCCAACGAACAATTGAGAATGCAAGTTATTTTGAAAGTTCTCGAGCCATTCAGCGTCCAAGTTTTACGGGGTGAATATCACAAGGGGGTGGAAAAGTGGGTGGTATTGTTTGCCAGACAGTTTGTATATCACTACGATGATATGTTTAAATACAATATTAACAGAGTAACTATATTATTTATCGATAAATATTTCAAATAGTTCAACAGCAAATACTTTTCATTTAATTCATCAAAATTTCATGCTCTTCTGTCTAACGTTTAAATGAAAGTGTGAACCAGCACATTTCATTGCTAAAGAATCCTTAATACAATATAACATTCAAGTCAACTATGGCATAATACTTTATCCTTATAATGAAGACTCTCTCTCCTGACTTTGAGTGCATTTTCCCTCTAAGTTTGCAATATACTTTTTTTTCTTTTTCATTTGCCGTGAAAGTCACGCAGTTGAAAACATTCTTTAAAATATACTCATATTTTCATCAATTTCTGTTTTTTTCATCAAAAATATCTTTGAGTTCTTTTATCATCTTTAGAATAATGACGCAAATTGAGACGCTTCACAGACGCTTCAAAATCTCAAAATACATGAAATCAAGGAGCTAAAGAACTGAACCAAAGCATGTCTTGTCGCTGTGCATTCGTGTGATTCTATGTACAAAAAGCTGAGTGCATGTCCAGCCGGTGTGTTCATAAGAAAGGGTTGTCCAGCGACCTGGAGTGCCTGTCAAATCGCCGCGCGAATTGGCAGACACGAAAGGTGGCCTATAGCTAGACATTCGCCGTGTTCGGCGCGCTCAGGCGCGAGCTGCGCGGCTCGATCTGGAGCGAGCGCGAGTAGAGCTCGTCGTCGTCCAGCAGCAGTGATGTGTCCAGCAGATAGTTGGTCACTTTGGGGATGTGGTCTATCTTGTAGGGCGTTTGCTGGAAGTGGCGAATCTCCCGAATGACGTGTGCAATCTGCAAAAATCACATTTGCATTAAATCCCATCCTTCACTCTGCATTTTCGCCAAGGGGAGGAAAATGGTTCGAAATACTATACAGTTGGAAGAAACATTTCTAGTCTCTCTCATTGTCTGTTTCTACGATTAATTTATGATCCCGTGAAATGAAATAAAAACGCGTGAAATTAACTTTCGGGTGCTGAAAGCTGACGTGGTGTACAGATTCGAGCCACATCGTCTCCACTTGCACTCAAGCTCACCATTCGCATCTTGGAGAAGTTTAAGAGACCGTCGGGCGTGAAGTCCGGCGTGCCCTCCTCGATGAAGGACAAGTCCGTGAGATACATGCCGAGATACGGAATGCACGGCGGATCGCATCGATGCAAAACTTCTCGCATGGCCCGAAAGCGTCCATCCGAGCAGACAACAGCTTGCAGTTTGATGTTCGTCTGCTTGATCTGGGCGACAAAGGGGTGAATTTCTCATTTTGGCCGTAAAAAGCAGACAAGTGAGACACTTACAGTCTTTGGCACTTTGTCCCACGTCTTCTTGAGACGAAAGACCGCTGCGTTGGTGAAAGCTGCACAGATTTGCAAAACACCATTGAAATTGTGCAGACAACGACAGATATCAGCAACAGCAGTCCACTTTTCAATTGCTGCCACTCGAGCTGCCATGCTACTTCTGCAACAGACATGTAAATTTTAGATACAATTCACCCATCAATGGCTCTTCGATTGCCCTTGAGATGCACTGCGAGCGTTCTCCACACACAAATTCACATGAAAGCTCTCTGCTGAGCTTTCGGAGCCACTAGTATGATTGCAGTAATTCTGAGTGTTCAGTAATTAAAGGCCAAGTTTAGGGCTCGAAAAATGATTGATTTTTAGCTATTTGTGGCAGCAATTAATTTTAAGACATCTTTACCTCGATATGATTTCTGATGACACCAAACGCGAGCCATCGTTGAACCTCTTCGTCATCTGGATAATGTGTTCCGCCCGGGATTTCTTGTCTGCCTTCATCCAAGCCTGGCCGAGGAATTCCCTGACAAAGAGAAGCACAATCAAGACAGCTGATTCAAGGTATCCTCGGAGAGACTCACTCGCTCCGGATGGCCAGGAAGATCTGATGATCCAGGTAAGTCATCTGTTCGGCGATTTCCAGCGCCGACAGAGTCTCAATGCTCTCCTTGCTGGGCGACAGAGGCGGCGTGAGGAGCGTCTCGAGGTGCTTCCTTCCGCAGTCGATGTCCTCGCGACAGAGAAGCCGCAGCAATTGAGACGCCGCTCTGTGCTCCGTCGGCAAGAGATTCGGGCTGCACGTGATGTCGTCCAGGAAGGCGATAGTCTGCGAGCGCAGCGCTGCGTCCTGCTCGAAGTCCTGGAAGTGCTTCGACACCCAATGTCTGCAAGGATCAAACGAATCATGAGATCCACCAAATGAAAACTAGAGATTCAGCACCGACCTGAGAACATTCAGAACTCGCATCGTTGCCGGAGAACTCACGACGGACTCTTTGCGATTTCGCGCCTCGACTTCTGGAGGCTCATCTCGTGGATTGCTGGAGCCGGAAATGGCGATGGCAAAAGCGGCCGCGGCCGTCGATGTGCTGCTCCTGTTAAGCGGCGGCCAAGGGAAAAAGAAAGCTCCGAGTGAGCACGAGTGAAAAGCAGGTGATGTGAGAATGTGGCAAAATTTACAGTATTTCTTTCAACTCAGGTGAATTGTGTAAGACTTTTTACACGCGGGATTAGATTTTCCATTCAAATGCTCCATTTCACCCATTTAATTTTCCACACATTGTTTTATACCCGTGTCCGCTTGTGAATGTGCTATTTTCATGTGTGTTTTTTGTGTGCGAAAGTGCCCGATTTTGAAAGCAAGATTGGAATTTGTACGAAAATTCGTTGGTTGTAGAAAAGGAGGTGTGAGAAAAAGCCACGATAAAATATAAAAGCGAGAGAGAGAGAGCGGAATAAAAAGCCAAATGGAACTTGCTCGAAATACAGCCATAATCACGTCAGAGATAGAAAAATACACATAAATTTATTTAAGTCATTGTGAGCACACGGGAAAAAATCGAATTGGAAAAGCGATGGGGAAAAAGTTTACTGTCCATTTTATAGCTGCAGCGAGAAAACGTTAAGTATCCAGAGCACACAATCTCCCAATGTCAGGAGAAAGAGAGAGAGAGAGAGAGTCACATAAGTTTATATGAGGCGAGAGCGGTCGTAAAAGAAGTGAACACGGGTGGAGAATCGCATGTGGAAATGGAAAATGCCGCAAGAAGAGCGCAAATTTTTTGGGGCTTGCAGCGTTCGCAAGCGGAAAATGCATTGAAGAAGGGATATTTATTTATTTATTCCATAATACACATTTTCCCGTCTCTCTCTCTCTCCCTTTCTCGTTCGCCAAAGTGGAATATTGCAAACTTTTACGACAAACTACACCTTGAACATTTTATTAGTCGTCACGGTTTAAAGCTTAAAGCTCGCTCACGGCTTTCACGCTCCATGCAAAGCAAGCGCAATGGGAAAAGAGTGCAAATGATTTCTGTCCTCTGTGTTTATCTTTCACTTTTCACTGTAAAATCTTTTTGCCACGAGCACAACATTTGCTTTGGCCTTTCATGGCATTCAGATGACAGTTTTCAAAAGCGTACATAAGTTTCGACATTAATTTGCTTACGCGAAGCTGAGATTTCTGTGGGAAAATTAAGTAAACTCAATTAAAGCTTAAATCTCGCACTTCATTTGACAATTCTCCACAGAATTATGGCTTAGAATTTACCGAAAACCCATCAGAAAAAGTCGCGTTTATAGATTTGGAAAAGTTCATTCGAAAGTGGTTTGTCATTTCAGCGAAAACGTTGTTTATGGCTTCCTCACACACTATTCATAATTTTCGCTGCTTTGACTTTCCACGTCATTTGCAGAAGTGAGTTTAATGGATAAAACATGAGGCCAAGAGCTTTCAAAACCACATGAAAGGGTGAAAACACAGAATTCAACGCTGGGAAATCAATTCCAGCGTCCGTAGTAATTAAATTTGTGTCGTTTTCCCGACTTCTAAAAATACATTTCTAATCTATTTAATTTGACTACTTGTCTAGAGCATGGTTGTTCCATTTTTTTTTCTACGCCAGGGCGAAGGAAAAGCGAGTGGCAGAAAATGAGAGGGAAAATTAAAAGCCGTGCAATAATTACTGAGCCAATTAGTGGGTGGAAATTCAAATAAAAATGGTCCAGCAAAGCAAATTCCGAAACATTGTATGCAATTTCTCGCGCAGCATTTTCCACGTGAGCAATTGTGGTGAGCTGTTTTTTTTCCTGGGGAATTACTGTGCGTTGTTGGACTTTTTCCGCGGTGTGTGCAGGAAAATCAGGAGGAATTGCAGTTGGGGAAAAAAGCAAGGGGAATTTGCTTTGTTGCACAATTTTTGTGCCACTGGGCAAAGTGGAAATTGCAAAAAGGCTACTCTATGAAAGTGAACAGAGGTGGAATACTAAAGAGACTACAGTCTAATTATTGAGAACTTACCAAAGAGGATCAGGTCCCATACTTCACAATATGCAATACACACAGGTTAAAGTTTTTCTTTTAGTTGAAAAGTTTCCTTGCACATTTTTTGCTTTCAATTTTTTTTTTGTTTGCCCTAAAGTCATTCTTCTCTAGCTTTCTTTGGGATTATTTCTCATAAGGTTTCTTCAGGTCGTACTTGAGGGTGGTTTTTGTATTTCTTTTTTTTCTCATTGGAATGGTGGTTGAATTAAAGAAACTGAGAAGGTGAAAATAAAGTGAAAAGTTCGAGAAACTTATAGTGGAGTGTCTGGAATAAACGAAAGTCATTTTCATACTGAACTTCTCTTGTGTTTTTTTTTATTGTCTTTTGTCGAAGAGAGAAAAGAATATATAAATTGAAGGGGGTTCTCAATACTATGATCATTTTGCCATTCAATGCGATGTTGACCGCGTGGTGAGAATTTCCATTGATTCAAGAATGAATGCCATGTAATTAACAATCAATACAAGATGATCACAGGCAAGCAAAGAACGGCGGGGCGAAGAAAGCCAAAGTATTTGGTCTCGCTTTCTTCACCGCCCAGATTGGTAATCAAGAGGAAGAAGAGCACATAGAGAGAACTTACATAGAGATGGTGAACAATGTAATTAAAATAATAGGAGATAGTGACAGAAAGATAGAGAGAACACTGATATAACAAATAATTTTCCATTGTCTCAATCAACACGAAGTCAATGTCTGCGTGGAAAGTGTTTGCAAATACACTTTCCAGCGCGCATTAAACTTTCACCACCAAACTCTTGGAGGGTATAAAGATAATATATGGCTCCAGTTGCGCCCGCCACAAGAATGCCAGAGAGCTCCTGGAAGACAGCGCACAATGATAAATCCCCCAGAATTGGTCTGGACATTAACGATGGATGAGCGCAACAAGTTGTCTCATCGGATTTTATGTTCCGAATCTACAATCTAGCACTGCAAGAGTCCGGAAGAACACTCCGTCTCGATGGAAAATGATAAACTATTGACACGCACTTGAGCTGCACTCGATTTGATGGATGGAAAATCAGTCACGAGTTGAATAAATGTCGCAGTCTGCTGGCAAATGCCGACTTTAATGGAGCGCATCTGCGGCAAGTTGCAGTCGAGGCCCATTTGTGAGGGTGTCGGAATGTGCAAGTGAGCAAATCAAGAGTCACAGCCGTGATTTATCGTCCTGATTGTCCTTCTGAGGTCCTCTTCGTGTCCCCGGATTCCCAGACACTCGGACAAAACCCTCGAGATATGATGAATGGCTGTGCAAACAATTAAACGCAATGACCACCGCAATGGCCACTTTTGATCTCGCTTGAGCTTTACCTCTAATTACCCGAGGATTACAATAATTACACTGCAATCAGGACATAATTTAAATTAGAGGCATAGAACTAATTAAGCCATTAATGGGCTTATTGAGTAATTTCCAAATGATTTCATGTGAAAAATCAAGGAAATCAGAACACTGACAGAATCATCTTTAGTCCTTATCTAGACATATCTTGCAGCCAGAATTGAGGCTAATATTTGCGTATTAATGGGTTAAATGGCACATCGGGCCGACGCTTCCAGGAAGCTCTAATTCACTCTTGTGTGCTGGCGTTGGCTGGCCGTCCATCATCAGCCCTTGAGTGATGATAGCTGAGGAGGATTTATTGAATAAAGAGGATTTACCTGCGCTTCGATGGACGATACGACGTGATCACGACGCCTGCCTTGCTGGAGCAGTGGACAACGGGCTCGTGCTGCATTGAGGCTCTGGAGGAAATCGTGCCCAGGGAAGCTCCGCCCAAGGATCCTCTGGGGGTGGTGTAGAGGGAAGCCGAGGCGTCATCGTCGCTCTCCGAGAAGCGCCTGCAAGTCAGGAAAAAGTCAGCATCAGAAGAGTTACTGAAGGAAAAGATTTGGCAACTCACCTTGGAGGCTCTCGCTGAGGCGTGCCAAAGAAGCTCTTCTTCTGCTTCTCAGGCGTCTTGGGCACTCGATGTATCATCCGTGGACTGGATCTCTCGCCCTGCAATCCATCGCAATTAATGGGCCGCTCTTGAGATTGATGCGGAGCACTTACGCGATAAATTCCTCCATCTCCATTGAGCTGCAGACTGTAGCGATGCTGACACAGGGCAGCCTGAGGGATGACGTTCGCCCCGGCGCTGGGTCTCCGGTCCATTAGGAGATTCACCTGCAAATTCACAGTGCCATCAATTCGACCACGAGCACTGCCCATAAATTACCTTCAGGCCGCCGCCCGCTGCGCCGGAGAAGCTGCCCTTGCTCCGCGGCACCTCCTCGTGGGACGCCTGGGTGGAGATGCAGGGCGTCGTGGTGACGGTGGGTGGAGAGATGACAGGAATTGCATCGGAGGCTGTTGTGCTCGGCTCTCGCTCTCGTTGTTGACTCAATTTGCGCTTGTTGACCCTCTCGGGAAGAGGACTCGTCGGCGCCTTGCCGTATTTGAACTGCACATTTCCCTCGGTGGGCGTCACGTCGGTCTTCTCCTGACCGCCGGATCCCGTGGAGCCCACCAGGGTCACAGAGCTGAGGTTCGACGGGGAGGAAGGACCGCTGAGAACGGTGGTCTCGGTGATTGTGTCCGCGCTGCTGGACGCGGCGATGGTTTGTGGTATGGCCAGGAAGGCGTCGTCTTGGGTATTTGTCACATTTGCACTCTCCTCGGGCGGTGGAGGCGGCGGCAGAGGCTCTGCCTCGGCTGCGGCTGCTTCCATCTCTTGCTCGTGCACAATGACTGGGCCACTGGCCTCGGGGATCCACGAGAGCCCCTCCTCCTGGGTGGATTGCTGCTGCAGCATCCTGCGAGAGCCCTTGAGACGCAGTCCTGCCGAGTCTCCGCTCATCGAGCGATCTCTGTCCGCGCCCTCTGAGCAGTATCCGGACACGGAAGAGGCTCCCGAGGTGCGCCGTGGCGATACTCTGCCATCATAGGCGCCCGGGATGTCCAGGAAATCTGTCTGGGGCTCGCAGTCGCACTGCGGATCGGTGGGCGGGTCGTAGAAGACCTTCTTGAGGGCATTTAGCACCGTCTCACCGTCCGTGAAGACCCGATAGGTCAGCAGGAAAGTGTTGAGGAAGTCAATGGAGAGGAATCTGAGATCCGTGAGACGCTGCAGCAGTCTCTCGGGTGTGGCATAGCGCACTTGGGGCAGCTTACAAGAGTTAAGCGTGCGCGAGAAGCGGATATCGACGTCGTCTTTGAAGAGGCGAGGATCCGCCCGCAGAGCGTGGTGGGCAGCTAGCGATCCTGACCGAGAGAATGCATCAATGGGATAATCCAAGCAAATATTTCTGCGGATACTCCCACCTCCAATGGATCCGCCGAGACCGGGCGACAGCATTGAGTGCATGTGAATATTGTCGAGGCACTGCGAGATGTCGCTGATCCATGCCTCCTTGTCCTGAACTGTCGGCGCCACGAGGTGGATACAGTGGCGCAGGCCCGTCTTGTTCTCCACAATTAACTTAAAATCGCGGTGTGATGCATTCACGGAGTCATTGACACTGAGGCAGCTGCCCTGATTGGAGGCCGAGCACACGGATGCGTCGCCTGCAAAAGGAAGTGCACGTGAGCATGGCGATAGGCGCCGCAAGGGAGCATTGGACGCACCTTCGTCCTCACGCTCAGAGTCACTGGGATCCTCGACCAGGGTGGCGTCTGCCAGGGGAATCTTCCCCACGTCCTGCAGCAGATGGAGCCGCCCGCCGGACGTCCTAGCCCCGAAAGACGTGTGAGGTGAAACAAACAGAGACACACGGGTAGTTAAGTCACATCGGGATTGGGTCTCGGCACCTACCTAGTGGCAATAATCATGTGATTGGAGAACAGGAAACACTGCCTTACCGCTTCTCGTTCACTCTTGAACGACGCCAGTCGTGACCGAATCCTTCCTCGGCCCGGCGGCACTTGGACTAAGCTGCCTGCAAAAGTATCCCCCATTTTAGCCGACATTCGCACTCGAGTGAAGCTTATGCTCACCCTGTCGCACAAAAACCTGGTTCACGTCCAAGAGAATATCACAACCCTCCACAATCATTCGCTCCACGGCGAGGTTCTTGCGCAGGTTCTCCGTCTCGGACACCTCGTCGTGCATCTGCCGCGACAGGTCCTCGAGCTGCTGCCGCGCATTCTGCAGACTTTTCCGCTCCACGTGGTCGTGCGGCGTGTGGGCCAGAAGCTCGTGCAGCGTGATGATGTAGCGCGGAATCTGAAACCGAGACGCTCAAGCATTCCGGAGGGACTTTGGGGAAGTCAGAGCTCACCTGGTGCATGGGATATGTGAGGAATGTCTCGAGACTCCGTCCTTGGCACACTGGCTTCGCCTCCAGACGCTTGAGGACGGTGGCGAAGGCCGGATTGCTCTTGCACTCGGTCAACACTTGCAGGGAGTAGTGATGGTTCCGGACGTACTCCTGATAGATGCTCAGCATCGGCAGGAGCATGTCGAAGAGGTCTCCTGAAAGTATGGGGCAGAGGAGGCATCTTAGTTACTTGTTTATCACCCCTTAACAAAGTTTTTGTGACTAGCAATAATATAATGCGAACGATCAGCAAATTATGAACTTCTTTGATTATTAATTTCACTTGCTAATAAATTGCAAGCTTAATTAGTGGCAAAAGTTTATCTTATGTAATTTAATCTAACACAAACGTGAAAAAGATGTGCGTTTCTTAAAATAATTTATTTATCATACACTATCAATTTCCTAAACTTTAAAGTGATAAATCAACATTCCTGATTAAAAACATAATAAATACTCACCGAGAACAAGTGTTGGCCAGGATTCCAGACGCGATGTGAGTCCTTTGAGGAAGATCTGGTGGAGGAAAAGGACCGTCTCAGAGTTCAGGAAGATGGAATTGACATCTTCGTGAGAGCACGGCGGTCTTTTGGAGCTGGCTGCCATCTTGAAGGGACGCAGGAAGCAGGAGACGAGGACTTCCAATTGTTCCTGCACGAGCCGCAAATGCGCAACAGTCAGTAAAGAATCCAGTTGCGATGGGAAATAAACTCACCATATATTCCTCCTCGGCCTCGACCATGGAGAAGACGAGGCTGTTCCTCTTCCTCATGCTCTCCGCGTGCGGCGATTTAATGTACTCCTCCACAATTTGCTTCCATCGTCGGCGACAGAGCCATCCACGGAAGAAGCTTTGCACCTAATCAATTATGAAAGAGCGCTGGTCATTCCAAGTGGACTTTACGCAGCACGGGGGCAATAATCTGCTGTATTGATTGGAGAGGCCGGGAAAATAGACTCAATGTCACGTGAAAACTCAATTCCACCTGAACACTGACTCGGCATTGAATTCGGTTTGTAATTGAATAATTAAGCCCGCCAGAGTTCCAAGGAACAATTGTGAATCGATACTGATGGCCGCAGGACAGAAGAAGCGCACGACGCAATTGGGAAAGAAATCACATGGGCGATTGGTGAAGTTCTCGTGCCACCATAATGTGTGCACGCTCCAATTCTCAGGCACTTCGGCATGAGTGACTTCCGAGAAAAGCATCCAGAGCCACCTGGGTAAAATGATACATCTTCGGCCAGGAGATGCATCTATTTCCGATTTGCCAACACAAAATAACCCCCAATATTTGAGACTTTTGCGGATATTCTATTAATGGCAAAATGTGACACTCAAGCGGCATTTAAAAATAGATTTATTCCAACTCACACAGCATGAATGGAAAAACCCACGCGAAGAATTAGATTTATTTTCTTCTCAAATTTATTAGGCGCAAAATTATTTTGCACCCCCACTCAAAGTCTCCACGGACGTCTTTCATGTCGGATTTCACGCTACGCTCGAAGGTGAATTGTAGTAAATCATAAAGGCGAGGTGGTCGAGTTGAGGGGTCAGAGTTCAAGTGCTGTGCGTTGAGATTTCCTCTTCGCACACACAGTGAAAGCCTAGGCTGAAAGTCCGCAGAGGTGAAAAGCCATTTCATCAGAGTACAGACAATTGGTCGTGGGCACGATTATCCCTCTCAAGTGCCTACTTTTCGGCCTTTTGCGGTTTAACTGGTCATCTTCAATTCTTACACGCTCCATTTGCGAGCCAGTCACCGAGTTTAAGCTGCAATTTTGCGGGGTAATTCGCATTCGGTGTTTACAATGTCTTTGAGGGTCATAAAACCGTGAATTTTTAGGAGTTTTTCTTTAAATTCTTTAACACACTAAATGCATTTTCTGAGTTTTAATCCAGACGTCTGCTTAAATGCATAAAATTCCATTAGCGATTCTGCAGAGAACTAATAAACTAATTACTTTTTTGAACTGGCAAGAAGCTTTAAAAGCTTGTTGAATATTGAAAGTTTGAGTTCGACGAAGCCAAGCTTTTAGACATATTTCTGAGGCTGAAGGGATTCTGATTGAAACGTGGAAAATTTTCTGAAATTCCAGTCATTAGCACACCTGAATTTCGTACGGTGAAATTTCACGAATCAATCAAAGGGATTTCGGAGCATTAAACACGTTCCGTGCTAATTAAATCCACTCAAAGCTACACGCAAGTGGAATACAAATGCGTGAAGCACGTCTCTGCGGAAAATGCATGTCAGAGCGAGAGAAATCACAATGTAAATGTCAGGGTGATTGGCGAAGCGACAGGTGGTGATGTGAGGGGCATTTCTCACGAATTCGACCCTCTCTTTAGCGCGCCCTCGAGTGGGCGGGAAGGTTTTCGGCGAAAGCCACAGCGAAAATAGTGCGTCTTCTGGCAACTGTGCGATCACCCACCAAGTCTAGACAATGCAATGCACTCACCTTCTTTATCTTCCGCAGCTCCACGGAGTCCTGCACCTGGGCGCACAGGCCCGTGAGGGTGGGGTGCTCGTCGGGTGCTTCGCAGCCGGCGCTGAAGCTTCCACGACCAACTGGGGTGGCTGACACGGAGGTGCGGCACTCCTTACGCAGTGTGCAGATCTGCCATTCCGGCGGGCGAGAGGAGAATGTCACATTTAGAGGGCGAGAGAGCTAATCCCAGTGAACATTGCCACCCAACTCACCTCGGCGCGGAGCTTTTTTATCTCAGATGCCAACTCCTCGCACTGCTGCGTGTACTGCCACTTTGCCGTCTTCTCGCTCTCCACCACCTGAAGCAGGTGAACGTGCTTCTGCTCCAGCTCCTCCTTCTGCAGCAGCAACTTATTGAAACTGCGGCGACGAGAGAGAAAAATGACAATAATGCCCAGATATGACTTAATGTGGTGCTAAAGAGAACCTCTTCACCAGTCGCGAGTGAATTCTGTGGCAGGGCGAGTTGCCCCACAAGTTCCATAACCTTTTCAATCTAGTCACGAAATGTAAATGTGCGGCAACAATGCCAACTTTATGCTAATATCTGTGGGATGAAAAAAATCAACATGGGGCTTAGAGGGAATATTATACGAATGGAGTAATGTGGAGCGTTTACACTCCTCTCAATTCAAATCGTTTCCAGTGATTCCAGTGATGACACAATGTTTAGCATATTCAAATTGTAATCATGGTTTATCACCAGCATAAATTTATGACATAGAGTAATCCTTATTTCATCACATCAATCTGTATCACTTCTTTGCTTGACACACTTTCTTTTGCTCATGCAAATGTGAGTCATTTCCTCTGGGAGGATGAGCTTCACAAGCACTGCAAACAAAACTCTGTGCTTTACTTAATGTTACCGGATTTACAACACAACTGCACAGTTGAATACAAACAACGTGGAATAATTGAAAAATCTGGGGTTTCTCTCATATTTGACTTACATTTTCAGTGTCGCTTTTGTGGTAATCTAATGGAAATTGCGGGCCAAGTGAGATGAATAGGAACAGGATTTCCCCATTGTCATGACATTGTATAAATCTTCTGTCACACATCCTGAGTCTCATTCACACCCTCAATTTGTACATCTCATGCATATCGTTTTCACAGTGAGCGCAACTCATGTATGATTTTCATGATTAATTAAATATGCATATCATGAAAATGTTCGACTACAAGCAAGTTGATTATGCATTCAACGGGCGAATTTGTCCACTGCATTGTATAATTTGAACTGCAATTTGGGGGCATGACATCAAAAATCTCATTTGGTTATAGTTATGAACTGCAATTTGTAACATCACATATACATATTGCTACATTAAGGTCACACGCATTATAATAAAATCGCAAGAGCGCGCGTGTTCAATACCGCAAAGCTCTGTGACTCGTGGTTTTAACCCTTGTTCTTAAATCTCCCACAACTCAGAAAGGAGAAAGCCTAACGTAATCTCCGTGAAATTTTGCTCATTAATCAGGCGATTTCCTTTTTTCATCTTCTCTGTGGTTTTCCACTCTTTTCTCGCTTCTCCCAGAGGCCACAAGGAGGTTTATGTACCGGAAGTTTTCCCTCTTAATTATATTCTGAGATTAAAAAGCTCTATTTTTGTTCGCTACTGTTATTCTGCTGCTGGCTTATCGTCTTACCTCGCTTCTCTGATGGCCACAATCCATGCCGAGACCTCAGACTCAGATGCGGCTCGCAAGTCATATTGCCGCTGATTCTCGCGCCGATACTGGATGGAAAAGCAGTGCTGAAAGAGATGTAAAAGCCAATTAGGGGGGAAAAACAAGACACTATTTATAGCAGTTGAAGGAAAGGAGTCAAGGTATTGCATGTGGTTGAGGGATTTTCCCGCATCTTCCACTAAATTCTCTCGTCTCTGCCACCAGGAAAGTGGATATGGAATTTCACCAGATTCAATTTCATACAAATTAACAATTAACTTCACTCTGTTCGGAATTTAACCCATAAAACGTCCTTTAATACGCTCCATCGTGACTTTGAACTGCGGGTGAAAAATCGATAGAAGAGCATGTCTTTTGAAACACACTTAATTAGGTTTTATTTTTTAATGAGCTTAATTTCAGAGCAAATCTTTGAAGAATTACATGGAGAAGAATTAGGATGAAAATTTAATCACTAGACACGATGAAGGTCTTGTCGAGGAGAATTCAAGAACCTGACATTGACCTAATTTCCTTCGCTTCAAAGGTGCCTTTTTTTCAGCTCTGCCTTCAGAGGTACCAAATTGAGTACCCCGAAAGCCCTCTGCTAATACTCCTTCTTGCCACTGATCCTTCGACGCTCTGTGTGTGTGTGTGTGTGTGTGTGGAGGATTCAGGACAGCATCTTGTACTTGTATCGAAGATTGCGTATTTTCCTAATGTCACTCTTTTGTATATCGAACAACCCTAAAATTGTTGATAGTTGGACGAAGGGTTGGAATTTCATTTCTCTAATCAGTGCCCTTTGATCAGCAGAGAAGAATCAATTTCCTCTCGGGAAACATGGGAAAGTGTGCGTGCGACTTTGATGTCTGGAAAGAAGTTGAAACTCTCTCTAATTAATTACAGCCCCAGAAATGGTGAAACTTTTCACCCGATTGAAGAGGGAGAAAATCTCAATGCGATTGAGTGAAGATATTCAGTGGAAAACACATCGTTGTTCCACATGAGAAATCCCCTAATTTTTAATTTCCGCCTCACTGGTCACAGGGTGCAAAGGAATGTGATGGTCGTAGGTCAAAAGGGTTGGGAGTGAAAGCTCAGAGAAAATGGACAGGAAAATTGTGGATTCCATATGCAATGAAGCGACTGGAAAATATACTGGACTTAATGGACACTTCTGCACGATTAAGCACAATTGTCCTCTTCATTTGCAGGATGGTTAAGTGAGTGGAGAGATTGTCTACCTCCGGACAATTTGTTCATTTCCACCCTGAGAATGCTGGGAATCTTCATCATATGCCATCAAACACCATCTTATTAGGGTGAAGAGACGAGAGATGAAAGAAAGCAATTTGCTTGCATATTCATGCGGCAGAAATACCGAGGATTTCCTCCCCATTCTCAGCCCGCCGCTCAATTTTCCCTCAACCTCGGATAAACCTCATTACCTACATAATAAATTTGTAAAATGACTGCAGTGGGAGTGTGATTACGCGGATCACTGAACAATACACCACAGTCATGAATATGCCATGGCGGCGAGAGCAAGAAGTGCTAGAGAGAAGGGTTTAGGTTAGCAATTCCACGATATTGCCGAGAATGTGGCCAGCAAACCGTTGAATTAAAGTTTCCGATGCAAAAATTTCATTCAAAACCCACTCATTTAATATCATGGCTGAATTCTGATGGTGACTCTTCACAATATTCCCGCTTTCATTGTGATTCTGAGGAGTTTTTGCAAGCTCGACGAGCGCGTCTTGTAATCCGAGTGACCCTCATTTTCATAGACAAAGAATCAATGAGTGACTTTTCTATGGTTGCGAAAAGCTCGGCGCGCAAGAAGTTCGACTCAAGGGTGTGCGAAGACAAACTCTCCACTTGTGAAAAGTTTCTTGGGAAGGAAAATGGTAATCAAAGTCTGAAGTCTGTGGTTATTATTTATTATCACTGTCATCAAGAGGAAATTCCCTCCACTCTTCGGCCCTGAGTCAACAATTCGCACACAAGAGAAGCACCCGGTGACGCCGACAAATCTGTTGCTGTCGCTTTCTTATGATGGAGAACAAAGAGCCACGCATAACACATACAAGACGGAAAAAGTTGACGGCCGGAATTGATGAACTTTTTTCGGCACGACACAACGATGGGTGAGAGACTTTAACATTGTCATGTGATGTTATCATATCATTCATTATTCCCGAGATTGTGTCCTCGCAAGACACCCTCCAGAATGGTCATGTAGCAATCATCTATATTAGTTTACAGAAGCGACAGGGTGGATAAATTATATCTCCATTCGCCGAAGCACTTCTGCACGTTCCATTGTTTGTTTTGGCGGAAAATTAAATTAGCCTTATCATATCCCTTTCATCGCTCCTTGACACTCACGTGACGACTTTAGCAGTGTGTCAGAAAAATCCGAACTTCAACTGTAACTTCCCCAGCTTCGATACACAAATCGCGTTCACCTTCTCTTGTCATTCAGCAGCCCGAAAAAAATGCGGAAAAGCCCCGCACGCTGCGTGATGTTGAGAAAATCAATTGGGTTTTTCGCTGTAACAACAAAATTTGCCTGGGGAAATGAGCAATTTACTTTTTAAAATCCACTTCAGCTCCCATTTCCACCTTCACCCATAATTTCATGCATTACTTAAAATAATCCGCATCGAACTCGCGCTGCCGGAACGTCGAAGAGCCCTTCATTGTGCGAGAGTGGAGTGAGTTTTGCCGTCTTTGGACAAAATCTCTTCCACTTCATCCATTTCATAAATATAATATTTCCACGATGGGAAGGAAATACATGGAAGAGATGCGCGAAGTTTGGGAGCGAAAGCTCTCACATCCGAGCTTTCGCCCCCCCGGAAAAGTGGAGAGAAGAAATGGCAAAACGCCGGTTCAGGGGCCAAAAACGTTTGCGTGTGTGTGCTGGGAAAATGAGAGAAATGGATGATGCTATTTTTGGGAGCCAACAGGGATGAAAAGTTTTTTTTTCCTCCTCGCTTTTGTGGGAAAACGAGAGAGAGAGAGAGAGAGAGAGAGACACACACAAACCGTAAAATTCGGGTCACACGAAGAAAGTCCCATCTGTGTGACGTCAATGAGCAAATGAAAAGGAAATTAATTTCTGATACACGCAATTTGAAAGTACACACAATCGCACAGAAGGTGTTCAAACGGAATTCTGGCGTGCGAAAGCCACACGGGAAAAACTCCAAAGCCCAGACACTCGACGGCACAAAAGTTTTCCCCGCGCGAAATAGTTAATTTCCAACCCCTCTGCCAAATCCTCCCCCAGGAGATTGTCATGCTCTGGCGGAACACTGACGACAACTTGTTGAACATATCAGCACCATGCATTGATGTGCGCAGTTTAATATCTCACATTGTGAAAATTAACTCACACAACAGATGAACTGAAATTGAATTTGTCGATATTGAATTTGCACTCCCCAGGGTTGAATCAACTGATTGAGTCGAGCACTGACGGAAAGCGAGGGTGTTCGGTGTGCCTAGACTTTTGCGAATCGTCATCCTTCTTAAACTCTTAATGGTGCAGACGAGCTTTCTCCGTGGGGTTGCAAGAGAGCTTTCACGGTGCGACCCAAGGTTTTGTGCCGCAAACTCGTTGTGTTGTGAACAGAGGGCGAATATTAGAGTAATTGATGAGATTTCAGGTGTAAATTTGGCCATCTTTCCCTCATAACATAGTTAATTAGATCAATCATTGTGGGAAAGACATACAACTGAAAATTCTATTAATTGTATAATGAAACTAATTGAATTAACAACCAAGTTTTAACTCTGTAATCTCAAGCACAAAGATTAAAGTCAACAAAATGCAATGCAATCTTCATAAATAGTGGATGTTTCTATCAGTATCACCACTGATAGGATGAAAGGAGATGTTTATGTTGGACTCTTGTTCTTTGGAAAGGATTTTCGACACAATAGATTTTACAACAGCACTTTCTACCAGCATAACAAGGCAAGAATTGTTGAGAAATTGCTTACAAATATTTGAACAGAGTTTCAATAAGGAGGTTTAACTAATTGAGGATATCTTGCATCCACAGTTCATGGAAAATCCTTTCCTTTCTTCCATGTTAAGTATAGTTTCTGCGAAAACTAAATCTTTGATCTCTGAAATACCCAGAAATCGTCATTTAAATCTCCTCTCAGCTCGAGCACTCTTCAGAGTGCTAATCCTTTGCATTTGGGTCGCGGCTAAAAATAGCATCCTTCATCCTGGCGCTCTCTCTAGCGTGTATCCGCTGAAGAGTTTCCACGGAGAGAGGAGTGGAAACTCGCTCTCTCTCTCTCTTCTGTGCCCTTGTGTGAGTTCGGGAAATTTCACCGCAATACTGCTCTCGCGACAGCGGCGAGCTGCCAGGGTGAGTCAGGTATAAAGTCTTGGGTAAAGTGGGTGGCACGACGAACGCAATTTTATGCTTGAGCAAAAAGAACACACGAAATCATCTTTGCCAAATGATGGTGAGACGATGATGCTCAATGTAGCCGAAATGTCTGCACTGGGAATTCATGCGAAAAGCACACACGCATAAAAAGCACACACTCGCGCCGGAGCTCGCGCCACCCCCGCCGAAAAAGGGGCGACTTGAGTGATGGGGCGCGGGCGGCGAGAGGGTGGCTATCTGCATGGATTAACTCATGTCTGATTTCGCTCACAAACACCTGCTCGCGCATTTTTTTGAACGGGGGCGCGCGCTGGGGGCAATCAGGATCAGCATCGCCCTGGCAACCATTGTAACGGACACCTGTTCTGCAAATTGCCCCAACTTATGCCGAATCGATGCGGCGCGTGCGATAGAGAGGCTGCCAACCCTTCAGCTTTGGCTTATCAGACGAATTAGGGCACGACAGACTGACTGCAAATTCCCAGACTTCCTGGATTTAATTCCACTAATGCAGGATGAAACTCTCAAATATCCAATTCCATCTCCAAATCACCCTTCCGAAAGTGTCCCTGTGACGTCGATTCAATTTGTCGTCACATCATTTCCTAAAGACGTTTTGGAGTGTGTTTAGAATGCCGGTCAGAAGCGTCTCGATCGGATAAAAATAG